TCCTCCGCTCCCTCAGAGTCAATCTCCACCAGGGGCATGACACATACAGCATGACATCCCTGACCCAATGTCTCTGGAAATACATGTGATTACTATACTGCTCAAAAAAATAGCCTTCCATGTGCTTGCCAGAGGTAGCCTGATTGCCATTAGGTACCGAGATGAGATCCTCAGACCCCTTGTGAGACCATATGCTGGTGCAGTTGGCCCTGGGTTCCTCCTAATGCAAGACAATGCTAGACCTCATGTGGCTGGAGTGTGTCAGCAGTTCCTGCAAGATGAAGGCATTGATGCTATGAACTGGCCCACCCATTCTCCAGACCTGAATCCAATTGAGCACATCTGTGATATCATGTCTTGCTCCATCCAGCAATGCCACGTTGCACCACAGACTGTCCAGGAGTTGGGGGATGCTTTAGTCCAGGTGTGGGAGGAGATTCCTCAGGAGACCATCCGCCACCTCATCAGGAGCATGCCCAGGCATTGTAGGGAGGTCATACAGGCATGTGGAGGCCACACACACTACTGAGTCTCATTTTGACTTGTTTTAAGGACATTACATCAAAGTTGGATCAGCATGTAGTGTTTTTTTTCCACTTTAATTTTGAATGTAACACCAAATCCAGACCTCCATGGGTTGCTAAATTTGATTTCCATTGATAATTTTTGTGTGATTTTGTTGTCAGCACATTCAACTATGTAATGAACAAAGTATTTAATAAGAATATTTCATTCATTCAGATCTAGGATGTCTTATTTTTGTGTTCCCTTTATTTTTTTGAGTAGGGAATGCGTGCCATCCCAACTGTAGATTGTGGCCCTCTATTGCTAATATTTTTATTATCAAGGTTAATCCAATCTTTAAGCCATGTTACAACTGTGGCTTGATAGTATAATTCAAAATATGGAAGTCCAAATCTTCCTTTACACCTACAATCTTGTAAAAGTTTGAATTTTACCCGGGGGTTTTTCCTTAGCCATATAAATTTCACTATTCTTTTATTCAAATCGTCAAAAAAAAAATTCCCCAATTTTACCAGCACCATTTGGAACAGATATAGGAGTCTGGGTAGTATACTCATTTTTATGGTTGCTTTCTGCCCCAGCAGTGAAAGTTGTATTTTGGCCCAGTTATCCAGATCTTTTTGTATTTGCAATATTATTTTATCATAATTACCTTCCTTAATCGAAGAACACTTCCCTATGAGCCAAACTCCTAAATACTTCACTTTTTTTGCTATCTGCATTCCTAGTTTATGTTCTAGTTCTTCATTTTGACTCTTGGTGAGGTTTTTGGTTATTATTTTCATCTTTTCCTTATTAATTTTAAGCCTCGCTACCATTCCAAATTCTTCTATTTCATGAATTAATACACTACCTGTTTCAATCTTCTCGAATCAACAGAAGTGGTTGAATGGATGGCAATGGGGTCATACTGTGTTAGGATGAGGAACACCCTCAGTAAACATGTTCTTACTTCTTTCCCCTAACATGTTACCTCTTACAAATCCTAGGTCAGTCACAGATTCCATTCCCTTGCTCATTTTGACCACCTCAGCCTCAGTTCTTGCCTGACAAATGGCTGCCCTGAGAATCTCACCACCTATACTTATTGTTGGAGATCTGTATCGATGCAAGCAGAAGCCTACCCTGGCTTGCATGCATAGTAGAAATCTGGATGCCTAAAGCTTTTTTTTTTAAAAAAAAAACAACTTTAAAATTATTGAGAATAAAAAGAGGACCAAGCAACGGCAGCTTGCCAAGTAAGTGGAGCTCAGTGGCGCGTTCCATTTGAGGTGTTGACAGTGCATAATAAATCCCAGCCCTACCTAACATTTACAGGAACATTATAAAATGAATGAAACGGTGTGAGCTAGTTCCCCAGGCAACCAGACAAACATAATAAACAGTCAGCAGTGGCAAAAGTAACTTACACCGTGCACCATTCGCAGGCCTGAAATATATTACTTAACTAGTCCTCCTTTTCTGCTTTTGCATTTCTTGTTATTATTGTTTCTTGGTCTTTGGGGAGAAGCAGGAATACTTAAAAACAAAAACATAAAGGAGCGACCAGAACCTTTTCTTACTAGACTCCTGTCTTTATTGCTATACATATGAAATTAAGAAGAGTTATCTTGGGTGTTTTTGCATCTTGGGTTATCAGAATTTATTGTTGAAAAAGAAATGGCCAGGGCCATGTTAGGAGTATCACCATTTTTCATAAAGCATCCATGATTTATTTTTATCGGTTCTTGTAAAAATGCTAATAATGATATGTAGAGGTGGATGGTAACAGCATAGCATTCACGTTGTGATCCCTCCCCATACGTATAGTATAGTTTTCTTACTTGTATAGTTTTAATATTAAAAATATGTTTTCCATGACCTATGAGGTGTGTTCCCCTAGTAGCATTTTTTTTTATGGTCCATCCATTATTTCATCCTTCTGTAAGGGAGTAAAGTGGGGGTTACTGTCTGTGTCTTAAAAAAGCAGCTGCATCTAGGCAAAAGCGTTTCCCATCCAACTTCCCTTATGTCCTCATACATTCATTTTGCTTAAAGCTGTCTGTGATGATTGAATCACACCTAGAGATTTCAAGAACATGTGGATGTCCAAAATGGTCTCACCCATCCCGGGACCCTTAGCTTACAAAAGCAAATGCTAAGACAGAGTGAGAAGGGGTAGGTGTGTTGCAGGCAAGGTGATGAGCAAATGGCCTAAAGACTGGGAAGCAGATTGGCAGCTATTATAAGCAGGCAAGAGGACTTTCATTCAGTTGTCAGGACCACAAACTATGGTGAGCTGCATATCTTGGTGAGTGTCCTGTTTGGAGCTTTGCAACATGTAGAAAAGGAGCAACCACACTGAAACTGCACCTCAACCCAACTAATGAAAGAACTTTTGGAAAAAGGCAAAGGTTGTAACACTGTTTTATAGTCTTGGAGACTTTTACTTGAACTGAGTGTGAAGGACTGAACATGAAGGACAGACATATTTAAGTGGCAATATCACCTTGAGAGTCCTAGAAAGGTATAGTTGATCCAAAGCAATAGCCTATTGTTGGGGAAGGTTTGTGTTGCAATGAAGCATTGTGTATACTTTTGCTATGCTGTGGTGTGTCCAGTCCTTGAAAAATAACCCTCAAGGCTCCCATCAAAACCAAATTATTCACTCATCTCTGGCATCTCACTTTATATCATTGAAGACAAGACAGTAATTTGTTTCCTGTGCATGCAACAGGGCTAACTAAGTATTGGAATAAAACTGGATAATCCACTAATTTTGAGAGACAGAAACTTGAAAGAAGTGACCAAGGCTATGTGTACTCAAAATGCTCTCAAATGGGAAAGGGACTAATCTTTCAGTTATTTAATCTTATGTGGTAACATTCCTATTGCAGAATTATCACTCCACATATAATGCTTTAAGAAGGGCTGTGCAATCTTAAAAGTCAGCTAAATGGTCTTACATTTCCTAGTAATTTGTAATTATAATTTCCTTGCTTTTTTCAGGCAAGTAATAGGTATATATGACTCCTGTGTCCAACTATACCGAGTCATTCCTGACTAAATTAAAAGGCCTCCAGGTCTCATAGAGCAGGAAGCCTCTTTCTGAACAGAGGGTACCAAGTAAATAAAATAAAGTAAGTGGTGGAGAATGAAGGGGAATTGTGGCCATAATATGCCAATTATAAAGCTTTGAGCTACTTTGAGTGAGTTCAATTTCAGACAACTTCATGGACACATCCCTGTAAGTTCTGTTTGTAAAAACACTGAAGTAATTTTAATTTCTTTTGGGATTTTTGTTTTGTTCTGCTTTTATTTCCTAACCCTAGCTTTAACAGTGGGGTTTGCTGGTATTCTCTCATCCAAATACTAACTAGGTCAAATCCAGTTTAACTCTTTGAGATCAACCCAAGACAGCTAGATACTTAACCCACACCCCCTGTTAAATATTCTCTTCAAGTTGAAACAAATTGAAATTAGTTCATTAATATCTGCTATGCAACTGTTGAATGGAAGTTTGTAAGATGGCATTGGCAGGGGGACACACTAAGAAAAACTAAGTCAAGCTGGAATATACGGAACGTATTCTCATAGGTTTCCTCTTTCATTGTTTTCCCAGTCTCCTACATCTTCCAGAAAAGGAAATGTTTAACATCAGTCACAACAAAGGGGTGGGCTTGCATCATTTGCTTCTTGCTTTTTGGCGGTATGCACAGGGAATCCTTCCCAGACTGTTTGGTTTACGGGCTTTGGCTCAGTGGCTTGCCAAGTAATAATCTGCTAGCTTTAAGCTTTTGGATAGAGAGACATTATATAAAAATATTTCACTTCTCTATGGTATGAAAGCAGAAGGGCAGTGCCTTTGGAGCAAGGTGAAGGCCTCCTGGCTTTGAAATAACCAAATTGTCTGAAAGAGGCTAATCACCCAACTAACTGAGCAAGCAAAAGGACTAAGCAAGCAGAGATGTCATGGGGAACTTCAACAGAAGAAGGCAAGGAGAAAGCAGTTGTTTTGGTTTCATTTTTTTCCCTTTGTTTTTGCCTGAGAAATCCGGGGACAGAGAGGAGTGCTCTGCTGTATACTTCTCAGAGTCACTTGTTTATGAGATGGGTGACTATATAAATTAGTTTGATAAGGAAGTTTAATAAAGAAGTGCTTTCATGAGCTGCAGGAAATGTGTTATGTTTATTTCCCTCCATGCCTTAACCATGAAAGCCAGCTGGGTGACTTTGAGCCAGTCACTCTCTCTCAGCCTAACCAACCTTGCAGGGTTGTTTTGGTGGTGGTGGAGAAAATAGGAGGAGGAAGGAGTATTAGGTATGTTTGCCATCTTGAGTTATTTGTAATAATAGCTAGGCAAAAGATCTGGTATAGAGAAACACTGACAAGGTAAAGAATACAGTACATAGCTAGATGCACTTTGAAAAATTGCATTCAGCAGAACATACTTTAAGCACAGAGAGACAGAGAGAAGAAGCAAAGAACTGAGCACTTTCTATAGTATGAAAGTATTTATTCCTAAAAGAAAACCAGAAAGGGTGTCTTAGTGATTCCATAATGTATGTTCTGTACATTAACAAATGTCTGGATACATTGGACTGAGTCAAATACATAATGATTATGAGGTTTGTGGCATGCCTGTGGGTAATTATAGTATTCTTTGATGATGTGAAAATTCTCAGACACAGAAAACTAATACCTCATAAGTATTCCATTAAATGTGTTATTTTCATGTACAAGTACTGCTACATTGCTTGCTGTGTGGTTTGAGAGAAAAATAGCTATTCACATTTAATGTCTGCAGATATAGACCAGATTTACCCATGCTGTTACATGACTGTTGCATATAATATCATATGCAATAATAAGTTAATATATAATGGGTTATCTAATAATATTAGTTTATAAAGTATAAAGTATTCTACTAAGCAAATTACATGAATTCAGTAGCACTTGATATATATCATCTGAGTGCTCAGTATAATATACCAGTACTTTCTGGCTCATTGTACAAAGATTGCTCTGTGGTATATATTTTGATACTTTCTTTTTCATTCAAACTGTAGGAATTTTGTTCAGCACTAACTTCATCAAACTATCTTTTTCTTTTAAGATTTTTCCAAAATTTATTTTCAATTCAGATTGCATAATTTTTTAAAAAAATTATACAATTTCTCTACAGTTCTAGAATCATATAGTGGTGCCTTTCCAAATTCTTAAAACAGACAAATGACTGATACAACATGAAGATATCTTCAGAATTTTCAGAATAAAGCAGAATAAAATACCTTTTTATGGGTAAAACTTTTTTTAAAGGCATCAAAAAGGCATAGTTTTAGAACAAGGTAAAACATCAATTCTCATTATAGTTTGATTTTACTACCTCTGCATTAGAATTAATTTCCAATACTGATCCTGAATTAAAATCCTATGCAATGAGTAATAAATTATCAAAATGTTATTAAAGTATGTATTGTTCATACCATAGAGATTTATTTTCTATCAGCGCCCAACAATTATCATAGTGTGTCACTTACAACTAGATAGGAAATAAGGAAATATACCAATGAGTTTAAAAATGGGGTGGGCCTTCAATCATTCAGTCCTGACACCATCTTGACTTTCTTGACATTTTTACCAACATCCCACTCCCACTCCCCCCAAAAACCAGATGCCAAATGTACAACACCAAGTGCAAATATCTAAAAAAAAATATGAATCACATTGGTCTTCCAACTTTTCTGCATTAAAGTACAAAAAAAAAAAAAAATTCCACCAGCTTCACCATTTATTCCTCCATTATAGGTAACTTTAAGTCCTTCCACCTTTGGACATATAAAAGTTTTGTTGGTCTCTTCATATATGAAAGCAAAGTTCCATAAGATGTTTCCACTTGTTTATTTGTTAAACTCGAAAGTTCTCTGGTTTCAGTTGTACGTTCACTTTTAAAGTCTTTTGAATCGGAATGCATACTTGATCCCAATATTTTCTAACATTCATGCATGTCCACCAAAGAGGGAAAAATGCTCTCAGTTTGATTACATTTCCAACAAATATTTGAAATTCCCTTGTATGTTTTTCACAGTTTATCAACTACCAGCAATGTATCATTTTACAAAAATTAAATTTAAGGTTATAATTCAATATAAATTTCAATCATTTCTTCCACATACATTCCTACTGATTCAACTCTATATTATATCCAAAAAGTTTTGTTCATTTTTTTGGCTTAATGAAATCACCATTAACCATAACTCAAGCCTTTTGAGATATATATGTCAACTTGATTCCTTGAATAAAATTCTTACCAAAGTCTATATCTTCCAAAACTTTAAACAAAAAGGGCCAGTACAAATGATCAAAGGCTTTCTTAGGCTAAGAATATCAGTTCAGCTTGTTTTTCATTACGCTGTTGGTAGTCACTTTGTTACATCCAGCACAGTTCTGGCATTTTTAAAAAATTATCTTTCAAATAGACAATTAACATTGATCTTCATGAATGAATTCCTCTAAGTACATTTTGGGTTGTCTCCAAAACTGATTAAAACATTTTATAATCATTGCTCAATAAAGAAATTGGTCTATAATTCCAGAGAAGATGTTCCCCTTAAGCTAAAAACAGGTGTGAAGTGCTCTATGTCTTGAATAGCTTGATTGGATTAGAAACTTTGACATGTGAAAGCCTCTGTATATTCTACAAGATCTGTCCATTCTGTAAAAATACAAACTTTTTACACTCTACAAGAATTTATAAATCAGCTTCATTATTTATTATCTCCTTTTCCTTTATATATAGAACAATCTTTGGAATGACTGCATTTAAGGCGTCCTATCTTTTGCAAAAGACAGATGTCAAAAGAAAACATCTTCCCAGAGTCAATTTGTTAGTTAATTTTTTTCACTTACTGAATATTTAAGATTTATGTTCAGAAAAATTAAGATTTTTCTGGAGACCATGGGCATATGGCATTTATATAAGAGATTTCTGGGTATATTCTAACTTCAAAATTTAAAATAGCCCATGTAGCCAAATTATATTCCCATGGGGTTTTCTGTTGCAACTTGATGAATCTTTCAGATAAGAAAAACAGAATGCGACATTATATACGGGAGTCTCTGTGGTTAAACTGGGAGAAGATTAAAAGACAATGTTATTTGAAAATTCCAGTCTGGTTATCGACTATTGAAGCATTTCCTTATCCTATAATATACAAAAAGGAACAAACAGTTAGATATGGTGAAATATTAAATGAAAAGGGTGAACTTAAATCTATGCAAAAACTAGAGGAACAAGGTATAAAGATGATTGGTTTTCATATGCGCAAATACATTCAAGGTATGATAAAGATTCTAAAACAGAAGGTTTCTATGATAAACTGACTGACTTAGATAAGATTTTGACAGGTACTGATGAAAAGGTGATTAAAAAATTGTATGGATATTTATTAGAAATTAAATTAGAAGAACAAGTTAAAGAAACTATTATTGCTTGGGGGAAGAATTTTGGATATGGGATTGATCTAGAGAAATGGCAAAAACTGTGGTCTCAAAATTATAAAATGACAATGTCAACAGCATATAAAGAAAATTTGTATAAGATGTTTTACAGGTGGCATTTCCCCCCGACAAGAATAGCAAGAATGTTCAAGAATAAATCCGAAAAATGTTGGAAATGTCATCAGACACCTGGCTCATATTACCATATGTGGTGGACATGTGCGGATGCTAAAAAATATTGGACTAAAATCCACACGTGGTTGGAAAAAATGACAAAAAAGCATATAGATTTGAAACCAGAGATATTTTTATTGGGAATTTTACCTGAAATATATAGTAAAGACTTGAAATACCTGATTGTAAATGTATTAACAGCGGCTAGGATTGTATTTGCTAAAAACTGGAAAAATGAGAAAACACCATCACAGGAGGAAATCATTAAGAAAATATTGGAATGTGCTGAAATGAGTAGATTGACATTTGAAATTAGAGAACAAGATGATAAACAATTTTATAAAATTTGGGATCTATTCTATCAATGGTTAGACAATAAAACATAGTAATGAAATATGTAGATTCTTAGAAAATAATAAATACATAAAGAAGTATTCTTTTCTTATTATATCTACAAAATGATTTTAGGATAGATTTGGGATGATAATATGAACCGTTATAAAACAAATTAAGTAAAATATGATTATTTCGTAAAACATGAATGAATAAAAGTATAGTCAAATGATTGAATAATAATGATATTAATGTATTTAATATTTGATTGAAAGTACGGGAGTATATACAATGTAATTGTAATTGAAGACTATGAAATGGAAGCACAAAACAATTTGTAAACCAACTGGCACACTGTATGTATATATATGGAAGATGGCTTGATGTTTTTATGTTTTGTTTGTTCATGTTTGTTTTAAAAATCAATTAAAAAAAAACACCAGAATGCAACTTGCTCATTCTCTTTACAGTGTCAAATTTGCTGATTTTGCCATATTCAACAGCACATAATTGGCTTCTTCTCTATACTCCTCTGAACACTTCTGTGCTTGATTTATCTTCTCAATATTTTCTTTCAGATTGCTTTCGAGACGCATCCAGTCTAGGTACTCAGGTGATGAGTCTTTCACTTTCTCCATCAAACTGTCCTGGCACTGGTGAACTGAGTAAATCATCTCTTCTATTGTTGTACTAACTATTCCTTTGGTGGCAAAGTTCAATTTCCTCACCTGCTGCTGAGTCTGCTTCAGTTTCTGAGGGACTTCCTCCACTCCCACATCTAGCCAAAACTTGTATCCTTCCATACACACCTGGACATTGTAAGCACCTGAAAAACAAAGAGATGTTAACCTCAAAATAGCGATTAGGATCAATTGTTTGAGTCTCAAGAAAACTTCAAATAGTGGCCAACTGTCAAAGATATTACAATGCCATGAAATCTAATTATTTCTACTTTATTTGTCAGGGACACAGGTGAATACATACATTTATAGGTGTGTGTGAGAGAGAGATGTAATAGTAATTTGGTAATATTAAGCCAAGATTAACCAGACCATTTGCTTGTAATCCTTGGCATAGAACTAGAGGTATGCTCTTTTGCAAAACCATCCTTATAGATTTTACAGGTAATCCCTTTTTCTTGCTACTCATCCAGCATAAAGTGATAAAATACTTGATAAATCTCCCTATGAGTAAATTCTGAACTCATTTCTTGTCTTTCTTATTGTAGATTTCACAAACACTGGGCAATTCTTCTTGGCATTCTTTCGAAAGGCAGGCATTACAAAGGAAAGATTAGCTTTAAAGGCACATGAAGGGATAATATACAGGAAGGTAAATCTAAAGAATAATTTCACTGTGACATGCAATCCAAGTAGTAGAATATTCATCCAGGAAACGGAAATCTAAAATTCTAAGCATCTTGGTAATTTATTGAGGCAGAAAATCAAGCTGAATTGATCAATGTAAACAATTTTATCCTGCAAAAAGAATCTGAATCTTGGGTTTTGAACCATGTAATTAATCAGTCTAGAATAATAGCACTGAACAATCTGTCTAGGAGCAATAACAAGAGCATGATATTTCACTATTTTTCTTTCCAAAAACCTCATTGGATGGATGAAAATTTTAGGATTGAGCTGTCAATAACATAAAGCATTGTTTTCTTACCTGAGGGTCAAGATGAATAAAAGGAGCCATGCTCCCCAAAAATACTGAGAGGAGCCAAGTCATTTAAATTTAGTTCAAATTAATTACAGTTATTTATTTATCTTACAATATTTTTATACCACTACAATTAAACTAATTCTGGACAGTGCATAAGTCAGTAGGATTTTTTCCCAATCAGGTATTTTATTATTTTTCTGCTATAACATTCAATATTATAGGTTGGTAACCACAAGTGGAATTTCTGTGGATGCCTCATGCACAACACAGGATTTTAATTGTGCAATTTTGTAGAAAAGCATGGCTATCCATTAGATTTATCATTTTCACCGCTATTTTTGTGCTGCATTCAGAATTATGTCTGATGGTAACAGTTGAGTCATTGACTTGCAATCTGAGCATTCCAGTAAGCCTTGGTGGAGGGAGAATGTCTTGGAAAGGAGGATCATATCATTAACACGTGAACAAGGAGGAAGATTTTTGGCCACCTCATAAATATCACCACACAAGTTTAAGGGTGGAGCAATCCCTCAAATTTGTGTGGTGGATGTTTCTGTAAAAAGAAATTGTTTTTTTTTCTGTTAAAAAGGCTAAAAACTATTCCATGGTACCACTGCCCTATTTAAGTGGGCAGTAAGAATGAAGTGGATATTTCCAAATCCACATATCCTTATTAACTATCACCACTATCAAAGTGCCCAGTGGTATGTCAGATCATGTATTATCAAAACATGCTTTATTCTCAAATATCGTAATATATTTGATTTAATTTGCTCTCATAGGAACAAAACTACTTTCTGCACCGTAAAAATGGAGCATTCATTTATACAGGAAGCAGTACAAATACTAGTAGGCTGTGGATTAACAAAGATTTTTCTCTGTAGTTTTGGTCTTCTGTTTGTGTGGCCTGATTCTACCGTTTTTCTCACAAAATAAGGCTGGGCCTTATTTTCTTTTGACCCCTGAAAAACCGACTAGGCCATCTTTTGGGGGGTGACTTAATTTCCTCCCCCACCTAGAGTGGCCCATACGCACATACCTTGCCGCTTCTATCGGCCGACGAAAGCTCCCCGAAGGCAGAGTCCCCAGCTGCTTCGGGGCGTGGTGTGGCTGCCCATGTCCCCTCGCCTTTAGGCAGTCTCTTTCGGGCGATGGAAGCTCCCCAAGTGCAGTCACCAGCCACTTCGATCGGCTGGTAGAAGCGGCTTCGGGGAGAGCGCACACACACACTCCCCTCACCGCAAGGCCGCTTCTATCGGCTGACAAATGCTCCCCGAAGGCAGAGTCCCCAGCTGCTTCAGGGTGAGGTGTGGCTGCCCGTGTCCCCTCACCATTAGGCAGTGTCTTTCGGGTGATGGAAGCTCCCCAAGTGCAGTCACCAACCACTTTGATTGGCTGGTAGAAGCGGCCTCACAGCGAGGGGAGTGTGTGTGTGTGCTCACCCCGATGCCGCTTCTACTGGCCGATCGAAGTGGCTGGTGACTGCACTTGGGGAGCTTCCATCGCCCGAAAGAGACTGCCTAAAGGCAAGGGGACACGGGCAGCCACGCCACTCCCTGAAGCGGCTGGGGACTCGTCCTTCGGGGAGCTTCTATCAGCTATTGGGGTATTCTAGCCTAGGCTAACTGCAGGGCACTCCTAAAGGCAAGTTTTCTTCCCCCCTCCACCCTTCCCCCCCCCATTTCTCTTCGCCTCGTGTAGTTCTAACGAACAATGTGAGACATGGTGGGGAAACACATGGTTTAAATAGGCCTAAATTTTGTGGGTGGGGCTTAATTTCATCTCATGCCTAGAAATCATGCTGGGCCTTCCTATTGGTGGAGGCTGTATTGTTGGAGAAACACGGTATTTTGAATATAGAGAATATGATGGAGTATTATGAAATAATGTGAACCTAGATTGGGTTAGTCCCTATACATTATAATTAGTGCAGCTAAGCAACACAAAAGCAAGAGGTGGAAGTATATTCTTGCTGGCATCCTGTACACCAACATTTTCTCTTCGATTCAAACTGTTCTACAGCATTAATTGCCTACCAACTTACTATGTTCCTGCAAGATCTTCTCCATGCAAACAGAAAGGCTGCTTACAGGTGAACAGTCATAGGAATTCCTTAAGGTCTGTGTAGCTTCTTGGAGGGACAAACAATGATCTTGCTGCTTATTGAAGGTCTCAGCAATACTATTGAACAGTGCATCAAATTCAGGCACATTGACTCGTTTCATGGTAAGGGGTGTCCCCTTGGTGAAATTAACTAGAAAAATAGAAGCCACAGTGCTATTTTGAATACAATATCACAAATAAGTAAGAGTCACTAAGTAATTAATAGGAACATGATCATTTCCTCTGTTCTCTGCTCTGAGGTAGAATCTTCAGTCATTTCTCTGCCAAGAACATTTCTATTTATGATAGAAAATCCTATCTACATATCTTTTCTGTGTGCACTTACCTAGTTGTTACAGGAAGATATTGTCCCTCTTGCCAATAAATTTCGTGGGGCCTGGCATTGATGCAATTGTCTTTTAAGGATAAGGCTTATTATAGTCATGCTTGTGGTATAAAATATGTCTAGTTGTGACCATTGGAGAATGAAGCACTTTATCAGAGCAATATAATTCAGGGAATGTCTAGTCTAGATTAGGGGTCCCCAACCTCTGAATCACAGCCCATTACTGGGCCGTGGCCTGTCTGGAACTGGGCCGCATGACTGCGCAGAGCTCAACTTGCATAAGTGGAGTCCACCCCTCTCCTCCCATAGGCCATCAAGCCATACAGGTTTGAGATCGTTGGTTTAGAACATGTCATAGATATTGGGATAAAAGAATGATTTATCTTTATAACAATGACTGGTTGATATTTTAAAATATATCCCAAGTAATGTCAGTAGCCAGCTGTCATTAATTTTAATGGGAAACTGGCATTTCAAATCTCTCAAATCACTTTTGAAAAATCGCAGCCATGATATTAACGAAGTAACTTTATCAGAATAAGAAATGGAGCCATAATTAAACTTTGAATTATCCAATTAAAATCATACCAGTGACTCTATGACAACACAGTTCAGGTTACAGTTTATTTTTCAAACTTGCAGAATTGCAATTTTTCCAAACAATGGAATACTTCATCCATTTTCTGGAAGTATTTTCAGCACATGCCAGAAAGAAAGAAGGGGAAACTTAGCATTTTATGTGCAAACTCTCGTTTCCCTATATTGTATATCTCTACAGCTGAATTCATTTTGAAAATATTATAAAAATCTAATTTTTTAGAGAAAAACAATTCTGTTCAAGAAAGATGAAAAAAATATTTACTTCTGGAATATTTTGGAGAGGATAAAACAGTGTGTTCCTATTTCCAGAAAGGATAATATAAATCAGATTGAAAACAGCATTCAGGCTGAAACTGCATTTTCAATTGCTCTGCTGATTCAAGTGAGATGATAGATAGATAGATAGATAGATAGATAGATAGATAGATAGATAGAT